TGTCCATGCACTCGGGCCATGACGATTGCTTCGAGTTCGGTTACTGAGACTCAAAATTAACGCTACTAAAAACATCTCACGACAAGTTAAGGAGTCGAGGCTGTTATACTGTGCATGTAATGATATGGCCGTAATCCTCAACTTTAGGATACAAATGGCCACATCGAACATAGTACAATGTAACAGGGCTCACTATTCTTTTCATATAATGAATATTTCATCTTCTATTTATATGTGAGCTGACCTTCCTACACAATCACTTCCGGTGGTGGACCATCACCGATCACCCTTGGTTGGCCTCTCCTTTGTACCTCTGGCTCCGGATGCGACTGTGACGACGGATGTGTCGTTGTTCAGATGGGGCCTTTCTTCCTCCACTCCATGCTTCTGGGGTCTGGGATACTGCCTCTCAAGGAGAACACATTAACAGGTTACAGCTCCAAGCGGTGTTTAATGCTGTTCACTGCTTCCGATAACACCTAGTGGGTCATTCCGTCCAAGTCCAGAGCGACAACTCCACAGCAGTGAGGTACATCAACTGCCAGGGTGGTACTCACTCCCCTCAACGTTGCGCCCTTGTGTGGCAGCTCTTCATGTGGATGAATTACCAAGTTGTCCACATAGCGGGAACCAGCAACAGCATAGCAGTCACACTCTCCGTCCGATCAACAGGGTGGAATCTTCACCCGAATGTGGTCAGCCATATCTTCGCAGAGATTGAGCATCCCCATATCAACCTCTTCGCTTCAACTGACAAAATCCAACTCCCGAAGTTCTGCTCGAGGTTCCCTCACCAACGGGCTTGGGTGACAGGCACCCTACAGTTTGCCGAGCCTTCTGGCGTATGCCTTCTTAATATCCCATGCGTCCTGTCCAAGATAGAACAGGAGCCATGTCAGGTCCTCCTCATTGCCCCATTCTGGCCTCACCAACCATGGTTTCTGAGACTGACAAGACTCCTGGTATGATGGCCATTGGTCCTTTCGTCCATGGAGGACATTTTTGTCAACCCAAGTGGGGGGTCCTCCATCCAGCACCTTCACTTGACGTGCTGGATGTTGTCCAACAATCCTTCAGAGCGTCTGGCCTTTCTGCAGATGCTGCATCCATGGCATCCCGGGGTCGACAACTGTCCACTTGCGAAGTTTACAACAGCCGACTACAACATTTAACTAGATTATGTATTGACCACGATGTTTCTCCAACCGAAGCTCCTGTGAGTTCCGTCGCAGACTTTTTAATGTATCTGTTCCACTTGGGCCTCCAGATTGCCACCAACTGCAATTGCCTTAGCAGCTGTTTATTTGGGCTTCAGCAATGTATTGATGGTCTCTGATAATGCTGCCATCCATCATCTTCCTCTAGGAATGTTTGTCGAGTGTCCTCGTGTCAAATGCCTCGTTCTATCCTGGGACCCTTGAAGTTTCTTACGCATTCTTCCCGGACCCCCCTGTAAGCCACTTTCTTACACATCTGATCTCCATCTCGGCTTCAAACTGGTGTTCCTCCTTGTGGTTATATTGAGATGCAATAGCGAACTGCATGCTCTATTGGTTGCCGAAGGTCACATCTGCCTGAGCCGCATGGGGTTTACCTTATCCCAGCCATTGAGTTTTTGATAAAAAACCAGACACCTACCTTCCGAACTCTCAACATATTCATTTCTGACCTAGCCTCACTTTCGGGAGATGACTCTGACAAGATATGGTGTCCAGTTCGCACTCTCAAGTGGTACCTTGCCAGGACCAAGCGTCCCCAAGAGTCTAGTTCCCGGCTCTTCATCATTACAACAAAACCCTTTCATCCAGCATCAAAGGACGCTATTGCCCGATGGATTGTCTCGGCCATCATTTTCATGAACCGAGACTGGCCGGTACAACATGACAAGACGACCCTATCTCGCGTCAGGGCCCTCGATGTTCGGCCACTTCCGCATCCTGGTCATACTTCAGAGGAGTTCCTCTGGCAGAAATCTGCCAGGCGGCTTGCTGGAGATCCCCCTTCACCTTCACCGAGTGCTATCTGAGGGATGGGCCCTTGGGACAGTGACCTTGCACTCGACGGTCCTGACAATGCCCAGCACTGTCCCGGCTGGGCGGTGAATACTTCATCATCGAGATTTCTTTCTTCTGGTGAGTGCTCACTTGAGCGACGCCTGACTATGTCCTTTTAGTAACTACACTCCCGTCGCCGACCCACCTCCAGAGTACGGTGCCACTCTGCATATGTAGGCTGAGCAGGGATTTGTGAATGCAGGAGACTCCTTCCCCACATTAGTGTGGATCGGGTCTCCTAGTGATACTTACCCTGCCCAGCCGCTCCCGCCCGTCCTTCCCCACTTTGGCTCTGGGGGTTTTCTCCGCTTCAAAAAGGACGAACAGGGAGGCGGGATTGCAGTGCATTGTGGAGGGTCAAGGGGCAGCATGCACAATCAAGTCTTTTTAGTGAATTGTAATAGGAACATGTGAAATTTGCATATGTAGGCTGGGTAGGGGTTAGTATCACTAGGAGACCCGACCCACTCCACACGGGGGAGGATTTTGTTGGGACTATAAAGATAATTCCTTTGAGGTGGACAACACTTCTCTGCTACACAGAGGTAACTTGGTCATACCTGTGATTTATACAGTTTCCTCCTCCATCCCAAAACAATTACCACATTCATCATTTTGCAGGGCCTCAGCCTCCTCTGCCTCTCAACCTAAATGTTCTATTACTTTTGATGAGTTCAATCCAGGCATTATCAAGGTTGTATTCTCAAAAGTTCAGAAGAAATCCATACCCAGTGTCCCTCTTCTACAGCTGTTCCTCCCCCAGGCAACTTCTAAAGACTGCATGCTATTTGTTGGTGCCTTCTCTTGTAGCCAAGGTTAAAAACAGGCTGCACTCGCACCTTTCATTTCAAAAGAAAATTTTTCCTGACAAGTGCACAAAAGACCTGTGTTTTGCCCTTTAGAAGCTGTACTCCTACATGCGTCATGGGGCAAGGGTTTCCAATTTCTCCATCCTGCTTTCTGATACCTGAGCCTTCTTCCTTTTTGTGTTTCAATTTTTTGATTGTCTGGCTACTGGCTACTTCTGACTGTCTGGCTACTTGCCTACATGAGTTCTCTTGGGTCAGTCTTAGTCACTTCTTTGCAGCATAGTTTGGTCTTGGAAAACCTTTTCTGGCCATCCGATAGTTCCAGGAAACGTATGGTGGACCTGCCCTTATCAGGGAGTGACCTGTTTGTAGATAAATTCAGGGAAAATACTTGTATGCTTCAGGAAGCTAAATGCCCCAAGATGTAGTTTATTAAACTATTCCACAAGTGGACCTTCATCCAGCCAGTTTTGGTCCTGTAAATCTTTAGATAACTGGGATTCCTTTTGACGGCCACAATCTTCCCATGCCCAGCAGTCGCAAGCTTCCTTCTCTGGAACTTTGCCAAGTTCTGCCACCCACTGTCATCCTGCCTCCTCTGTCAGAACAGGGCCTTTCAAATCAAAATGCTCTAGCTAAACCCAGGGTGTTCGGGAGTCCTAAAGGTTCAATAACTATGATCCAATTATGCTGAGTATTCCAGAAATTCAGGGCCCAGTGTGGGACTGCTGGTGGATTTTGCTCAGAAATGGTTCCAGATCACTTTGGACATTTGGGTGCCCCAGACTAATTCTTCAAATGAATACTGAGCAATCATTTTTTTTAGATTTGACTGAATTTAACCTTTTACTGGTTCTTCTAATATATCCAAATACAACTACAAATAGCTAATTTGGGTACGGTCACATTTTCTCTGTTGCTGTTTGTGTAGTCTTTTATTTTCATTATGCTTATTCATGAGATGAGTATTTAGGATCATATTCCCCAAATTTATTTATTGAAAACTCTGAAATGGTAAGGAGTCTAGTTTGTTCCAATAATGTTTATGGCATTGCTTTGAGTTTTATTTCATTTGTAAAGTAAAAATCACACGCTTTAAGAATTTAGCATTTTTAAGGATTTACATCATACATGTAAACCTGTGGCTGTGGGACGTGTCTAGGCCTTCACAAAATTGAGGGGATAATTTCTTTTGTTTGGAACATTGGGATTGAATTGTGCGGACAGAAATTTATCCCCTATAAAGTTTTGATGTGATATCTACTTGTGTATTTCAACATGAGTGTAATCCCCCAAAATACAGAAGTGACTGTTTGTTGTATGTTCCCTGGCTAACTCCATATTGAGAGGACAGTTTATTTTGTCAGGAAATTTGGGAGTGATTTGTTGGGACAGTTTCCAAAATTGCTTGACAAGTACATGTATGTGGTCCCAACAACTAGTGCTTGACCAAACATACTGATACAGGATTTGTTGTCATGATTTTTCTCTTGCATTTTGTATATTTCTTATTGTTGTATTTTCTGTACACTTTGGTGTATTTCTTGCTGATTTTCTTGAGTAAATTAGTAAGTCTTCAGAATAAAACTGTACATGTAATGAGTGAATTTACCCAGAAGTAATAGAATAGTATCAACCCCACAGCAACGTGTGTTTTGAGCATTGTGTACAAACAATATGGTATAGTACCCGGCACATCTGCAGTCTGAGTATGTTACCTATTTTTGATAAATGATACTTATGAAACACTGTTGTTGATATTTGATACTCACTGTAGGTCACTTGACTGAGTGGGCGCAATCGGTCTATTACTTTGATTCTGGATAATTCCAGAAATTAAGGGTCGATTTTTTGTGATCCGACATATAATTTTGTAAGTTCAGAACAAATTTTCTAATTTCAAAAAGTGATGAATTAATGCAAATTACCTGCCAAACAAATAGTAATGGTTTGAAATCAATTCCGGTGATATTTCCAAGGTGAGATGTAACAGGGACACAAAAAGTCACACTTTTGGGCCCCTTATTTCTGTAATTACCCTTCTACTGTTCTCAGAAATTTAAGAACCTGCCATTTGTATTGGTAGTTTATACATGTTTCCTTTTACTCATAGTTGCTTTCTTTTCTGAAACTATAGGGCAAACCAGAAGAAAGGCACCCCCTTCTTGTTTTGTTCAGTGCAGATGCTATCAAGACCATCCTTGCAGCAGCCCAGTGAGTATGCATCATTGACGATAGTTTGTATGGATTCTTGCTATAGTGTACTTTAGTGAGATGTGAGAGAATTAATGACAGACACTCATAAGCCTGGTTTCCATATCAATGCAAAGAGATGCAGACAGCATTGCTGGTCAGTTTCTGTGGATATGCAATTGTATGGAAACACTTTGTTATGACTAGCACAAACATGAACGTAGACAGGAGAGTTGGATCAGGTTCAACTTTACTGACTGTCATTGTCAAGTCGGCAGAAAAGGCCTATACAAACACACACTGACACCATGGTTGTACAACAATGTCTCTCTTGCTTTAATAGTACCACTCTTACTTTGCCAATTTCTTCCTTGTTACTATTGTTTGCATCTCCATTTGTCAACAAAATAGCTGACCGTAAACAAATAATGTTCTTCAAACTGGAGTATCAATTTTGTTTTGGGGAGATATTGCCACCTTGAGAAAAGCAGTCAACTGCCTGCAACGTATGCAGATTACCAATACCCATGCATTATTTCCTAGTCCATTACTTCCATTTGCTAAATTCTTGATCACCTATAGTGTGCCCCCACTCACCCCCCCACGAAGGCGTCGGCACTTTTTAATCCTCTTGTTCTTAGAGCCGGAATGTGTTGTTCTGGGTCCGAATTTTTTGGATTTTTTTCCTTCGTTAACACGTGTTTCGGTGTTATTCCTCGATCACCTTGTTTATTGTTCTGACTCTTGAGAAGGATAAAATTGTTGCTCTTTAATTAGCTGTTTCAGTGAAACAGCTGTTGTTGTTTTTTTTTTGCTGTTTCGGCTTGCAGCTGGATGTTGAATATTTAATTTCTTTATAAGTCTATGTGTCCTGGCTCATTTTTCTCTAATTTGGGGTCTTCTTTATCCTAGTGCATTATGATGCTTCATTGTCTGTCTTCGCAAAGCGCATAAGTATTGGAAACAGGAAAATAGCCTGTCTCCTACGTTCACATTCTCCTGCCCAGCCTACATATGCAAATTTCCCATGTGCCTATTACAATTCACTGAAAGACTTGATTATGCATGCAGCCCCTTGACCCTCCACAATACACTGCGGTCCCTCCATCATGTTCGTCCTTTTATCAGTGTCTTTCATTTACGGATGTTTTCGAAGTTCTGTACCTTTCGCGTTTGTGAATTGACTTGATTCCTGTAATACAAAATAAAGAGTGATTTCTTATTTATTGGTAAGAGTGCTTATTGTCATATTTCGTTCTTGGCTTGCTGTTTTTTTGCGGTTCTTTTCTGCCCCTTTTTTCTGTGCATCATATACAGGTTTGGGTGTGACCTACTGTGATGTGTTGTGTTGGGTATGGCCATTGACCAGGGCCGGGAAGCCCTTTGTTCTCTATGTGGTGTGTGCATTTGAATAATAATGGCCCAATGCCATACAGGTCTTGCTGCCAAGCTGGGCTTGGTAGGCTTCCCCGCTCCTTTGTGGTGCGAGTTTGCGTTATTCGATTATTCGATTAGCGGCCTCGACGAGGAGAGACCCAGTGGATTGAATAGGCCGGGGTTGAGCGTGATATACTGCAACATGCCTTGGACCTTTATTGACAAGATCGGGTTGCACGTGCTATGCCGCAACATGCCTAGATCACTAATGACCACTACCAGGATTAATCGGGCTGAGTGAGCGGTACCGTAACAATGCCCTTGAACACTGATGACTACTCCACCCACCTACCCACCGGGCCGAGTGTGCTGGACTACTACACTGCCCTTGGTCATCGATGCCCACTCTACGCCTACTGATCAGGTTGAGCATGCTGTGCTGCAACAATGCCATTGATCATGATTGTCAGGGAGTAATGAGCCATTCCTTCTCCATGCCACAGGTTCTGGGCATCGCTACCTACCGTTTCCCTGGACGACCCTACCGACTGATGGCTCAGTGGGGCCCCTTGGGGCGATGATCCGCCGTCTGCCTCGGGCCCTTCACCAGCTCCTGCTCACTGAGCGGCACCCGCTCGAAAGTCGGGCCAGTCAACTCCCTCCAAGCAGGCAACGGGTTCCACAGTGGGCTTGCCACACTCCACCGCTTCTGCCACGGGCGAGTCAGCAATTCAGCATGCCGCCCAGCTTCCCGTTGCCTCGGACAATGGCCCCTGTCCCGGCCTCCAACTTCCCCGCACCAGTAAAAACTAAGAAGTGCAAGGCCAAATCATCTTCCTCGGCTTTTTCTTCCTCATCCAAGACTGTGTCACACGATCATGATCCACCCCCGTGGATGACGACCCTCAAGTCCATCTCGGAGGCCTTCACCTTCCTTGCCTGCAAGATAGACTCCAAGCTTCAGCCAGCAGCGATGGCACCTGATCTGAATCCCCTCCCTGCCGTTCCTCCTACCTCACAGGGGACATTTTCAGAGGCTGAAGTGGTCCTTGTTGTTTAGCCAGATCCGTTCCCCCAGTAGGACCCGGCTCCGGATCATGTCCCAGATCTTGGTGGCTCTTTCTGTTGGCATTGCAATTGGGGCAAGTAAACTTACTCACCTGTTAGCTGGTTCTGGGCATGACATTCACCCGCAGTTCCCGTGATCTGAATTCCTCTGGTGGTCTCCCTACTACTAGCGTCTACCATGGAAGATGTGTATTCACTGTATAGCTCACCAGTCTACACACTGGGACGGCCCCGTTACTCCCGGGCCAGCTACAAAGACCGTCACACGCCATGGACTACAGCTGTCAGATGAACTTCTCAGCAGTTCGCTCAGGCATGACTTGGAAGTTATAATGTCTATTGTTTTTTGGGGCGGCCAATTCAGAGGCGCCGCCTACCTATGTGGACTCTTCACCGACCTTCTTTCGGGCTACAAACTGCATCACTGCCGTAGTTCTAGAATGCCACTCATCACTGCGGCTTTTGGGTACAGGCTAGGGCTATCTGACCAGGGCGTTTCCGGCTTCTCCGGTGGTTCTGCGCGCTTCGACCCATCACAACCTGCATTCCAGACATGCCACTGATCTTCGGGTTCTACGACTGGATTGCCACACATAAGAAGCGAAATGCAAGAAATTCCATTGCGCACCTGGGCAAGATATTTCTTCATCGGGTTTGATAATGGCTGTCTGCTCTCTCGGAGATGCTGTCTGCCTTAGCCAGCTGCCTTGAGTCAATCTCCACCCCCCCCGCGACTGCCCCAGATCCGGATTCCCTGTGTGAGCATTTCCTTCCAGATTCTTACGCGGATTTGTAGCCGGCTCCGCTTCCGGCTTCAGATCCAGTTTTATCTCCGGCTTCACATCCAGCTCTGTGGGTCTGTCTAATACACAACGGTGCCTGTTTTCCTCATGTATTTTTTGAATTGAATTTGCTGTTGCTAAATTCATTCAATAGTAATAATAAAAATTCTTTAACTGAACCAGGTTCTAGGTGAAAGGCTTGCGGAAGCACCATGTGAATGGATATATATATCTCTCTTATGAGTATGTGTGGTTCTGAAAAGAACCAGGAGCACACTCGACGTTTGCGACCGACTGCGTGCTCAGTCCGTCACCATGAATAGCCTGAAATTCCAATTAACCCAGTTCTTTTTATGAGTCAAATTTAGCTCTGCCCATATGCCACTGCATTGATATGTCTGTTTTATTTCGTCCATAGGTCTTCTGTTCATTAATGCCTGCGGTAGATGTCATCACCCTACCTGCAGACCCATCGAGCGCTCCGATGTCTGAAACTTCGTCATCGGAGGCATTCAGGTGTGTAACAGTCAATCGGTATCTCCAGACGGGCCCTCCCTCTCGAGCTGTGACCGATGATCACGCCATTTAATCCGGTACCCACGCCTCGACTGCCCTTATTCGCTGACTTTTCATATATTCTCCCAATCAGCCTGGCCATGCCCCACGTTGCCTTCCGGGTGTGAGTTCTTCTAGAGTGGGCATGTCCAAACTTTAAATACTGTAACTGTTACGAGGTCTGACAAAAGTGTGTCTGCTGTCCGTGCTCAATTTTGTTAAGGGATTGCCATGGTTGCCTTTTCTGACTGCGCCCAGTGTAATCAAAACGAAAAGGTGGCCTTGGCAAGTATCTGTTGATTTCATGTTATTTACTCGCGATCTCTATTCCAGCGAGTGAATGGAAATGTGGCAGTGTTTCGACGTACTTGGTTATGGAGCGGTCTGCAATCTTTGGTTGCTCCTTACCTGCAATTTTAGTAGTTTTGCAGTGCATACGGAATGATCTTAAATCCCCGTGCACGTAATGGTATGGCCGTAGTCCTCCAACTTCAGGGATACAAATGGCTACATTGAAAATAGTACAATATAACAGGGCTCACTTTTCTTTCCTTATTATGAATAATCAGCATCTATTTACATGTGGGCTCTTCCACTCCACTCCTCATCGCCCCATTCTGGCCTCGCCAACCATGGTTTCCGGGACTAACAAGACTTCTGGTACAATGGCCACTGGTCCTTCCGCCCAGGGAGGACATTTCTTCGTCAACCCAAGTCGGGTGTCCTCCATCCAGCACTGGGGGATCTTCACTTTAAGTGCTTGATGTTGTCCAGTGATCCGTCAGAGCTTCGGGCTTTTCTGCGGACGCTGCATCCATGACGGCCCAGGGTTGACGACTGTCCACTTGCAAAATTTAAAACAGCTGACTACAACATTTTATCAGATGGTGCGACGACCACGATGCTTCTCCAACCGAAGCTCCTGTGAGTTCTGTTGCAGACTTTTTCATGTATCTATTCCACTTGGGCCTCCAGATTGCCACCATCTGCAATTTCTGGTCGGCCTTGGCAGCCGTTCATTTGGACTTCAGCGATGGATTGATGGTCTCTGATAACGCTGCCATCCACCATCTTCGTCGAGGAATGTTTGTCGAGTGTCCCCATGTCAAACGCCTTTTTCTATCCTGGGGCCATGGAAGCATCTCAAGCATTCTTGGCGGTTCTCCCTCAGAGCTGCTTTCTGATGCATGTAACCTCCATCTCAGCATCAAACTGGTGTTCCTCCTCGCAGTCATTACA